AGTTGAAGAAAAATATCGTCCGAAGTTGCTCTTTTGACATGCTTCAAAAAGTCTTGGGAAAAGGGGGTTTATCAAGCAATGGTGAAACGGCAATTATACCATCAGATAGCGCAAAAAATTCTCTTCAGGATGTACTACTGAGACGCAAGGGAGAATGAGTTTTTAATCAGCAATGAATGTACAAAAATAGTAACACAAAACGCTGAGAACTTTCCGGACAACCTAATAGTTAAAAAACAAAAATTTAAGACAATAACGACTGGTACTTGCAATGCTTTCACCCACTTTTATCACTCTATTCTCGTTAAGTCCGTTCCTACACATCTGTTGGAGTTTCTTATCACCAGCAGTGAAGATTGGAGAGCTCGGTCGTTCAGTAGGTTCATTTCCAAACGACATATTCTAATCTGAATCTCGCAATACGTAGAAAAAAAACTGTCTCGCTCTACTATTTAATTGATGTATCTTACGACGAAACGACCACTTCACCACACCCAATAAAACAATTTTTAATCAATACAATGTTCACCGCAAAGGAACAAAATTTCGCAGTCAGGATGGATAACTTCAAATAATTTAAACAGCAATTGTATCCCCGTGACAACAGAAAACAACAAAGTCTTTCATAGAATCACTTAACACCTAATTTTTAGCAGTAGAAAGGAATGCTACGAGACCTGCGGATCCTATTACAGAGAGCAGAGAATTAAAGATAGGTGTGAGGTTTGCAAGCAGGAAAAATGCTAAGAACAACATAATCGAAAGGAACAGTACGTTGGTGAAGAAAATCGACAAGTATGTGGCTTCTGAATCCGCAACTTCGTTTTTACGAAAAAGAGCGCGCTCCTGGAATCAAACATCAGCAGGTGACCTATGTTGGAAGTAAGAGCAGACACTTATTTACCTCCTTCTCCTTGGTGCTCATTTTCTTGTCATTTGCGTATTTTTGACTGATTTCCCTATCCACAGCAGAACCTCGTTTCATGACGATCCTTCACAAAGCATAATAAATTTAAAAGTGTGGAGATCAGTCATAAAAACATGCTTACTGGTGCTTCAGAAGCCTCTTCTGATTCTTACATGCCATAGAAAGAAAGTAAGTTGATGCGACAGCGGAAATCAACCAAACTATCCATGACTTCGGAAACCTG